GTTGAAGAGGAGACAGGAGGACAGAGGAGAAGGCAAGAGAAAGAGAGAGAGAGTAAGACGAGAGGATAATAAAAGATGGGGCCTGGATAGATAGATACACACTGAGGGGAATTAGGAAGAGAGATGGAGATGTCAGACAAAATGTCAGACAGGGAGATAAGTAGATGTACGGCGTGGGCCGCTCTGCCTTCTCCGACGCTAGGACGTCACTCGAGTGGAGAGGAGAAGGATCAACAAGGGGATACCTGTCACCATCAGCGCACTATGTCCGTCAACGGGTGTCAGGCTGGAGATGGAGCCGGCTCTCTGAGAAGGCAGGGTCAGCTTCATAAAAGAGGAAGGGTCAACACTACTGAAGTGGGGAGAGGCTCTCCTATATAGTCTAGTCAGACAGTAGAAGGCCCTTTGAGTTATATGGATTTCTTTCTCAGCACCATGATAAAGCAGAAGAGTAGGCCCTCCTAAGTGTCAGTACTGTACATCTGGCTGTGTTAGGTAGGAGGTAGAGTGAGCTGTCCAGGTAAAAACACGCAACATCAGCAGCTCGCTGCTTGTCTAGCTGGGACTCCAACCCTGAGGGTGGGCGGTGGGCTGAGGTGGGCGAGAGTGGAGGTTCTGTGGCTGGAAGAACAACAGGATGTGGCCAGAGAAACAGCTGCAGGAAGCTGCTGTATAGCCTGATGTTAATGAGACGATGGAAGCACATTCCTTTTCCTGACGTCTATGGAATTTCCTCTTCCAATTAATAATTAAACTCCCATCCCTCCATGCCCCCTTTATTTTGTGATGATATTAGGGGTACTTCTTGCTCTGAGGGCTGTGAGTTCCTATGTGGACTCCCAAAGAGCTCTGACAGAGGTGAGAGGTCTTTAACTCATTCTTTCACTGTTGATTTACTGCTTATGTTTACAGGCTCGACTCTAGAGACTCATATATCGGTATAGGCCTAGTGGACAGACAGAGGTAAAATGGTTTCTGACACAGGGGTCAGTGAGTGTGTTTTGTGGAACAGAACCTAATGTAGCCTGACAGGGACTGACAGCCTTAGTGTTATCTTCCATGTTGTTCATAGCAGAGACTCTCTCTTTTTCCACCAGGAATAAAGGGTGCTCCTAAGGTAAGAGAGAAATACAAGACTTGGAGCCAGAAAACTATGGAGGACTAAAAGTGCCACAATTAAATAAATAAATACACCATTAAATAATTACTTAAATGTGTCATTAATTAATTAAAATTAGAATTAAATACATAAATGTGTTATTAAATGTGTCATTAATTAATTCAAATACCGATTCATTTTATGTAAAATACATATATAATAATTTCACTATTTACATTTACATTTCATGATCCTGCATTGCAGTGATTCATGAATTACTTAAAACTGTCAAACTGACCCATCAAAAGTTGGTAGGCGGAACCTAACGCCTGATTGGTTACCCTCTGCATCAAGCCAAGACAAATCAATTCCGGATAATGGATTGATGCAGAGCTACTGAACACATTCCAATACACTGGGTGGCGCTATTCACCTCTACGTTGGTTTAGGGGGGGGGAAGCATAAACCTAGCTAGTTCGCTAATCGGCTAAATGGTGTTAGCTGGCTTGAGCATCCCAAGATAGAAGTAGAGGCTGTTTTAGCTGACTGGTGACCATTGAGCTGTTACGTTTTTCTGTGTTGCAGCGGAGGTAGCAAGGCTCTTTGCGCCATATAACATTGGAGCCAGAAGGAATATGACGAGACGACCAGCACAAGTCCAAGTTAGCCGAAGAAGCTACACACACACTGTCTGTTGTTTGGCTGACCACAATGCGGATAAAATTCCAAGCGTACTGTTTAAAGCTGAACTTCTTACTTCAGGACTTGGAGAGCAAAAAGTAACATTTTCAGGTCAGTGCGAAACTAGGCATTTACCAAAAGTAAAAAAAGTTTGTACTGTCTGTGGCTTGTTGAAATTATTTGCATTTATTTTTATAGTGACTCAAACTTAATTGGTGTTCATAGTGTCAATAATAGTTATCACAGGCTTATTTGCTTAATTTAAGGTGAGGTGAGTTATGATTTTGTTTTGTTTTTTTCTCCAGGGAATGACCACGATCCCATGGTTATAACAAATAAACTGATGGAAGTGTTTCCGAAGCTCCAACAAGGGGGAGGCTTTGAATTTCTAAAACTTGTAGGATCTACTCGCAGTCGAAATCTTGCGTTGCTTCAGTGTCCCAGCACTGGATACACCCTTGCCTATCTGAAAGATCCATCGACGATGATTGGACAGGCTACAATCTACATACGTCCACTTCAACAGGATCTACCCTTAGATTGTGTACATACATTTACAGAGACTTAGTTTAATACATAATCAAAACAAAGATTACTGGTGACTTTTAATCATTAATTAAAAGCCATTTGTTGTTGTTGTTAGGAGAGCTCACGTCCTGCCTCTGGTCCAGTCATCCCCTGCATCACTTGTCAGAAGGAAGTTCCCTTTTCAGAGATGAAGCTGCACAGATTGAGCTGCAATGGGTATGTACTTCTTAAAGCAATGCAAGGGTAGCATAATTTATTTTCTTTGGGAATATGTCTCTCTTATTGTTGTGCACACAAATAAGCGAGTATGACCATCATTTCAATTGTGTTAACTTCAAGGACACCCATGCAGGAATCAGAAAGAGAACAAGAGGGAGGCCAAAGTGAAGAAAATGATAGTGAGACAGCCCTAGTCAGTGACAGTGTTCCAGTGAGGCCTGAAACATCAGCTGAGAGTGCAGTAGTACCGGCAGTGATTGTCAACGAGGAGTTGGATCGCAAAGAAACAGACAGTGGTTTGTGTCATCACAATAGTGTTGCTATAAGATTGTGTGTAACTGAAAAGTTAATAGAAAGATAACACCTGTAGGATATAATTAGATAAGATAATACAGTTACAGACAATTAATAACATGCAACTGGGTTTTTCTATTTTTCTAATATTTAGTTGTAGTTGTTTAGTAGTGCTGTTTTTATGTCAACTCAGCGTTGTGACAGGTTCTGAAGATGTTGGGTCTCACGTTTTGTCAGTGAAATGAACAGAATTTTCCTCCTGTTCTGTAGAGTGAGAGGATATCTGTATATGCAGGTAACATGCCAACTCACAATATGTCTCTCTGTAATAGATAACTTTATTGTTGTTGTTTGTTTAGAATGGAAGCTTATTAAAGAACCCACTCAAGCTGCCAAAGTTTTCAAAGAGAATCTGCTAAGGGAACATGCAACTGGGAAACCACTTAGAATGAAGATGGATGTAAGGGACTCTGAAGAGGACAGGGAACGGGAGCTTCTCTTATTCTATAAACAGCAGCAAGAATGGGCATGTCCACTTCATTGTACTCTGGTTGGTAAGTAATATAACATTTATAATATAAATACATCAGTACAGTTTATACCACTCAAGTAGCTTATATGGAATTGTTAAATGGGAGAATGGAATGCACAAAATTATATAATTGATAAAAATGTTATATGTATGTATGTGAATATTGTGCACAATATACTCTTGTTATCTGGAATAATCAATATTAAGGATGCTATTCTAGAATTACAGCCAATAGAAGTTTTTCTCCCTTTCTTGTTAAATGTTACCAAATCCAGTTACCTGTATTAGGCCGCCACTTTTTTTCCAGTGTTATTATCAGTATTTTATTTCAGGTGATGTTGCTATCGGAGAGGGAGTGATGCGGTACTTTATGACAACAATCATATCCAAACTCCAGTTTGGATTCAGTCTAGATCTTGGTAAGTATCTTACTAATTTTTTGAAGGTTAATCCATCTATAAATTGCAGAAATGTCTGTCTGTAGCGCATGTCTCTCAGTTAGTCCGATGGATTTCAAACTTGACAGGTGTCTTGCTCTGGTCACGAGTAAGTGCAGTGCCAAGTTTGACGACGTTTGGATAAACGCAAAAGATAGCGTTACATATATAGGTAAAAGAAGCACACATTGGCTTTTGCCGCTCTTGCTGCTTGCCATTCTCACACTGCATGCAACGCTGACTGAGCACCTGTTTGTGTCGTGACTCACTCTACACCGCCTCTCTCTATGCGCGCGCACACACACACACGCGTACACGTACGTTCTGGTGGTTGATGAACGCGGATATGTGCTGTTTAGCGGAGGGCCGGTGGGCAATGTTTTGTGTCAGGTAAGTCTGTAGTAGGGTATACAGGGGAATTGAATTTGAAGTGGTTTGGGGTCCTTCTGTAAGTCATTTTGGAGTAGGCTACAATTTGGTTTAAGTGAATTCTACAAGCAGCAATACCACAGGCCAAGTAATCGCCACTAGTATGATGTAATCTATCTATCTATCTATCTATCATACATTTTTATTTAATGTATTTAAGAGGTTAATTGTTGTGACTTTATTCCCTGCTCTCTTGGTACTTTACAGGAGGAATGGGCCGAACACTGCTATTTGAGGGTGAACCTGACCATCTTGTTCCAGCAGCATCAGAGGCACTTATTGAAAGCAACCTCTTCCGGGTTGCAGGAAGGATGTTGGGCCACACCTTTCTGCATGATGGTCCCCATGTCACAGGACTAAGTCCTGCTGTAATTCATGTACTGTTCAATGGGGACCCTGAAATGGCTACTGTTGTTACAGAAGACTGTCCTGATCTGCACATCAGGAGCATCATAGAACTGGTATGTAACCTAAAAGAAACTTTGCCATGTAAAAAATATTGCTTGGGCAGATATAATAACTTGTATGGTCTTAATTCTAGCTTGAACATGAAGATCTTACACCGGAACAGAAGGACACAGTTTCAGATCTTTCCATGTCTTGGGATCTTCCGGAATTGACACAAGTTCAGTGTCTTTGAAAACATTAACACACTGTGCAGTAGTTGACTTTTTTTTCTTCCATTTACTAAAATCAAACTGTTCTGCACCTTCAGTGCTAACAGTACAGCATTCATGTTAGTCATTCTGTGGACCATAATGAGACAGGAAGCTTCAAAGAAACAGCTTTTTTTCCTTTCTTTTAAAAGGAAAGTAAACTTTCAGTATTTCCTTGCTTGTTCTAACACAACAAATAAAAACATGGGTTGGACATCAGTCTAAGATTCTTGATAACACTTCCACAGTCTCTACATATAGTCTAAGTGCATCAGTAACAGAAACTCCTGGAGCTGGCAAAATTGCAACCTCTTCATCTGAGAGCTCACGGGCCAGCTGAACCTCGGGGACTGACACAGTGCCTCGATGAAGGCAGTGAGGTCCGTTCCAATCGATCCCATATTCTTCAGGAACCTGAATGGATGACAAGCATAATCAGTCTTGTACTTAAAACTAGTTTGACATGTCCTTACACAAGATTGTTATTTTTGGTCACCAAGGCAGTGAGAAATGAAATGTTACTTATTCAGTTTTTTAAAATAATACAGCTTTGCATAGTATGCACTGTAGAAACTACAGCTCACAGGTTGATCTTTAAAAGCTCGGGAGATTTTAAAGAGACAATAATCTATAGTAAATGTTTCATTTAAAGTATCACATTTAGCACCATTTTTTTCTCCCATAATTCCTTTGGGGAAACAATTTTAAGAAAGTGTTTAAAGTTCATTGTTAACCTCAGTAGGATCCTCCTCAGGGCCTTGCTCTCTGTAACTTCTCCAGAGTTGCTGTGGTGACTGATTCCTTTCAGTTCTAAGACCGTGGAAGTTCCAAGCATCTCGAAAAGAGTCGAGGCTTTGCTGAACCAGTGGAAGGAAAATCCGGTGCAGAGCGAAAAGATGGACTTCATTGTCTGGATTCAGTGTCTCCTGATCTTCCAATGAAGTAAAGATCTGATAGAAGAGGTCCAGGGCATGTTCATAAACATCTCTCCACATCCTCTCTATTCTGTGTTTAGGATAAAATTGAGAAATTGTTAATTTATGACATATGCTAAAGTACATTCAACTAGTATGTTAGTTGTGTGAGCCTAGTTGCCAAACATATTTCTTTACCGCTGATTGTGGACACTTCTGCCTGTGATGTGTGAATTCCTGTCGGTACCTCTGCTTCTGATCATGAATTCTGCTACATCTGCATTCTCCCCCCCTTTGTCAGACCGTACCCTTGATGGCAGCCCATACTGCTCAACAGCGGCGATAAAGCTCTGTAAGACCGTATGAGCTCTATTATTGCCGGCCACAGTCAGGTAGACCACTAAACGACTGAATCCATCCACCCCACCGTGGACAACAAATCTCCACCTGTTGCAAACACATGAAAAAATATAACTTTATTGTATAACAATTGTAATGAAACATATAGAAAGATGCATTGTTTATCTGCTAATATCACTGACCTGATAAGCTTATGGTGGCCATCTATATGCCACAAAGAGTTTGGGCCAGGAACAAAATACTGCCGTCGCCTTAATACACGCATCCTCAGTACGTCCTCATGTTAGACTCCCTCTGCATTGACTCTGCGTAAAGACTCTTGCAGTCTTGAGACTGAGGTGGAGGAATTTAAAATGAATAACCACACACTCACTGGCTACTTATTTTGAGGATATAGTGGTGTCATAATAAAATAAATAATGTGTGTAAACAGTCAACTATTACAGAACCCCCACAGCTTCAAAAATGTACTTTACTGTCAGATATTGTACATATACAATAATACATACATATATATATATATATATTATACATATATATGTAGATATATATATATATATAATATATATATATATATATGATATATATGTCTATTAATTATAATATGTAATGTGTAATATCCTATATAAATATATATATACTCCTATATAATATATATATAAGATATTTATGTTAGTAAGTATGTAGATATGTACTGTAATATATATATATATATCATATATATATATATACATAAACCCATATATATATAGATATACACATACATACATATATACATACATACATATATATTTATATATATATACATACATATACATACATATATATATATATTTATATATATATACATACACACATATATATACATATATATACACATATACATATATATACACATATACATATATATACACACATAGATAGATAGATAGATAGATAGATAGATAGATAGATAGATAGATAGATAGATAGATAGATAGATAGATAGATAGATAGATAGATAGATAGATAGATAGATAGATAGATAGATAGATAGATAGATAGATAGATAGATAGATAGATAGATAGATACCACATGCTCGAACAGAGATGACCTGAGATTTTTTGCCTCCTATGATATTTTGCTTTTCTATGATTATATTATACCCTTTACAGCAGGGGCACATCCGGACAGCTGAGAATATTACTGTCAGATATTGTTCCACCTCTATTAAACAGGAGGCTAAAAATCACAGGACATGTCTATCCTGATGATACAAGTCAGCCGTCCTGAAATGTGTGTTTCTCTTCACATTTCTTCTACACATTCTACATCTCAGAGGCGATGTCTTTCCATAAGCGGGCTTCCTTCACCTTTCAAAGGGGCAGAGCTCCAAATTAAAATACATTTAAATAATGCCCATATTATTATCTACTCACTTGGAACATGCACACCTCTTGCATTCAGGTGACCACGCATTAGCTTGTAGCCGGTGTTTGGATGACTTCTGTGAATTTCACTTACAATACGGTCTAACTCCTCATCATTCACAGCTGAATAGAGATCTGTCTTTCTGTACAAACAAGAAAAACACAACATCAAGTAATGTTACCTTAAACGTCATATTCTTTCCGAGTGTATGAGAGCAGCAATTCATAAACAGAAAACTCATGAATTTAGTGTAAATACCTTAAACTGTATTGTTGCATGCGCCTCCTGATGGTCCTCTTTGACACACCGAACATCGCTGCAATTTGAACTGCGGGAACTCCACAAAGAAGTTGATGCTCCAGAACTGCACTCGGTATGTCAAACGCCAAACGCCCCGGTCCCTGTGTGTGTTGGGCCTGAAGTGCCCTGGTACCAGAGAAGCGGTGGACAACTTCTTCTAGATTTGCAATCACTCTGTGGTCGATATCTTCGTCGGAAAGTGCGGAAATGACTCCAACAACTTCAATAAGTTCCTCTGCTTTACTAGCTACATGCTCTGGGTCAGCAGGTCCTGCTTCTACATCCTCTGCTAAGTTTAAAATGTCTCTAACCAACTCCCTGGAAAGTTCACGGAGATCCTCCATTGTCTCTATCCAGGTTGGCCTACTCTACTTCAGACCAAAGCAATGGATCAGACTAGATTCGCGTTAGCCCCGCCCACTGACTTTGATGGGTCAGTTTGACAGTTTTAAGTAATTCATGAATCACTGCAATGCAGGATCATGAAATGTAAATGTAAATAGTGAAATAATTATATATGTATTTTACATAAAATGAATCGGTATTTGAATTAATTAATGATACATTTAATTACACATTTATGTATTTAATTCTAATTTTAATTAATTAATGACACATTTAAGTAATTATTTAATGGTGTATTTATTTATTTAATTGTGGCACTTTTAGTCCTCCATAGAAAACATGGAGGGGAAGAAAACCCAGGAAAATAATACTCTTGCTTTGTCTAAATACAATATCTTCTGGCCATTCTGCTGCCCTAGGCAAGACAAAAATACTGCCACTCCTACTAGAATAGTCCCAGTAAGCAAAATGAAGTTGAAAAGATGTGTAAAATACTTTACATTTTGGTTAAATTTAGGGTCTGAATGAAAGGTGAAAATAAGTATTTTCCAGACGTTGAAAATACGTATTTTTCGGACGTTGAAAACAGGTTCATGTTTTAATCTGAATGAAAGTTGAAAAGACATCATTTATAGACATCTACAGTGGGGAAAAAAAGTATTTAGTCAGCCACCAATTGTGCAAGTTCTCCCACTTAAAAAGATGAGAGAGGCCTGTAATTTTCATCATAGGTACACGTCAACTATGACAGACAAAATGAGAAAAAAAAATCCAGAAAATCACATTGTAGGATTTTTAATGAATTTATTTGCAAATTATGGTGGAAAATAAGTATTTGGTCAATAACAAAAGTTTCTCAATACTTTGTTATATACCCTTTGTTGGCAATGACACAGGTCAAACGTTTTCTGTAAGTCTTCACAAGGTTTTCACACACTGTTGCTGGTATTTTGGCCCATTCCTCCATGCAGATCTCCTCTAGAGCAGTGATGTTTTGGGGCTGTCACTGGGCAACACAGACTTTCAACTCCCTCCAAAGATGTTCTATGGGGTTGAGATCAGGAGACTGGCTAGGCCACTCCAGGATCTTGAAATGCTTCTTACGAAGCCACTCCTTCATTGCCCGGGCGGTGTGTTTGGGATCATTGTCATGCTGAAAGACCCAGCCACGTTTCATCTTCAATGCCCTTGCTGATGGAAGGAGGTTTTCACTCAAAATCTCACGATACATGGCCCCATTCATTCGTTCCTTTACACGGATCAGTCGTCCTGGTCCCTTTGCAGAAAAACAGCCCCAAAGCATGATGTTTCCACCCCCATACTTCACAGTAGGTATGGTATTCTTTGGATGCAACTCAGCATTCTTTGTCCTCCAAACACGACGAGTTGAGTTTTTACCAAAAAGTTATATTTTGGTTTCATCTGACCATATGACATTCTCCCAATCCTCTTCTGGATCATCCAAATGCACTCTAGCAAACTTCAGACAGGCCTGGACATGTACTGGCTTAAGCAGGCGGACACGTCTGGCACTGCAGGATTTGAGTCCCTGGCGGCGTAGTGTGTTACTGATGGTAGGCTTTGTTACTTTGGTCCCAGCTCTCTGCAGGTCATTCACTAGGTCCCACCGTGTGGTTCTGGGATTTTTGCTCACCGTTCTTGTGATCATTTTGACCCTACGGGGTGAGATCTTGCGTGGAGCCCCAGATCGAGGGAGATTATCAGTGGTCTTGTATGTCTTCCATTTCCTAATAATTGCTCCCACAGATGATTTCTTCAAACCAAGCTGCTTACCTATTGCAGATTCAGTCTTCCCAGCCTGGTGCAGGTCTACAATTTTGTTTCTGGTGTCCTTTGTCAGCTCTTTGGTCTTGGCCATAGTGGAGTTTGGAGTGTGACTGTTTGAGGTTGTGGACAGGTGTCTTTTATACTGATAACAAGTTCAAACAGATGCCATTAATACAGGTAACGAGTGGAGGACAGAGGAGCCTCTTAAAGAAGAAGTTACAGGTCTGTGAGAGCCAGAAATCTTGCTTGTTTGTAGGTGACCAAATACTTATTTTCCACCATAATTTGCAAATAAATTCATTAAAAATCCTACAATGTGATTTTCTGGATTTTTTTCCCTCAATTTGTCTTTCATAGTTGACGTGTACCTATGATGAAAATTACAGGCCTCTCTCATCTTTTTAAGTGGGAGAACTTGCACAAATAGTGGCTGACTAAATACTTTTTTTCCCCACTTTATGTTTGGACCAAATCAAGTCTGGTCCAGACCGGACAAAATCTGAACTAAACATAGATGTCTACACCAAAAAAAGATGTCCAAAAGGCGTCAGTGTCGGTCCATGCTTACTGAAGTATAGCCTACAGTGTCACCTGAAATTTTATTTTAGGAATGCCCATCTATGTGGTAGGCCTACAGTTTGTAAAACACCAAAAAATACGTCCGGTTTGGACAGGACCAAAAAAAGTTGTCCAAAAAACGTTGGCGGAGTAGCCTACGATGTCGGCCCGCAATGGAATTTTATGAATGCCCATCTATGTGGTAAGCCTATCGTTTGTAAAACAGGCCATTGCATTGGCTTTATTAGTCCTGATTCGTGTGACTAATCAATTTGTCTATTTAAGCTCTGAATATCAGCTACCCAACTTTATCAGGAGTTATCCTGAGCCTATTTGCAATGTGTTTACACAGCAGGAAATGCAGAAGTACTTTCTTTTTCGCTATGATCAGCTCGTAAAAAATGTACAGACACAAATTTGAAACCACAGATCATGACAATTTAGCCCACGTGATGAAACTCCTGGACATTTACACTTTAGTCATTCAGCAGATGCGCTTACCCAGTGTGACTTACAATAGTGAGTGGATACATTTCTTGTAATTTACCCCCATGGGTATCAAACCCACAACCCTGGCGTTGCAAGCACCATGCTCTACCAACTAAGCCACACAGGACCTACTAATCCTTTATAACAATCATCTTTGTAAACAGGGCCATAACAATGAGAGTATTTGCAGTGTCTGCCATGGGAAAAGGATCCTACTCATCTTTTACTCCAAAGCTCACTAACACCCTGTAAACCCTATAAATCACACATTGATAGATTAGACCCCTTGGGAGTCATTCACCCCTTGTAGGAAGGCTCCAGCTATAACCACTATATTCTACCACATCACCAGAGGTTATTTACATGAAGGGCAAATACTCTAGTCATTTGGCCTGGAGGAGGGGCAAAGTGATATTCACCCAAATAGTTGAAGGACAAAAACATTTGAAAGGGAACAAAGATAGGCCTAGTGGGTCATGATATTATACAAGGTGGCCATGGGAGAGGTTCCTATAAATACCGAGCCCCGCAAGCCGCCTGATCTCACGAGCTTACATGAATGTTCGCTGCACGGATATCAGTCTGGCTAATACATACCTGTGTCAAAGCGAAATGCTCAGTTTTGCCAGTGTTGGAAATAATAATGGAGAGGCCAGAGTGGCGCAGTGGTCTAAGGAACTGCATCGCAGTGCTTGAGGTGTCACTACAGACCTGGGTTCGATCCTGGAAGTCCCGTAGGGCAGTGCACAATTGTCTGGGTTAGGGGAGGGTGGCTTTACTTGGCTCATTGTGCTCTAGCAACTCCTTGTGGTGGGTCATGTTTCGTAGGACGCATGACTCTCTTGAGCCTCTTGGGGAGTTGCAGTGATGAGACAAGTTAAAAAAGGGAGAAAGTCACACCCAAAAAGCTTTGTTTTCATTCATTAAGGTTTTAGAAAATTTGGTAAAGCAGCGTTTGTATTTTCTTCTCATTATCGTTCACAAAGTCAATTGGACACTTCAATTTCAGATGACCTTCATCATGACATGTTGCCTACTCCACGCGCCAGCACCCTAGAGAGCGCGCGAAAAGAGCCACTGCATGAGGCTCTCAATCCATCACACTCTGAGACCACACTGAGGTATGTCGCTGTCACACGATTTGATGCTCATTTCATTTGTATTTATTTATTTTTCTGCAAGAAAGCCATCTCTGCCAAAACCAACAAGGTCATTTCGCATCACCCCAATTTGATATTCGTGGTTTATTGGCTCTGAGTAGTAGGTGCACTGTATATTGTGGGGGGAAATAATTTTACGCATCATGTGTTATTGTGTTGGATCAGGGCTATCTATTTCAATGCAATCTTTTGAACAACATGTTTATTCTTTTCAAACAGCCACCTGCACACTGAAATCATTTGTGACAGTCTTTTCTTAGAAAGGAACTGCTGGGTATTCCTTTTAACAGGAAAACTCGGTGGTGGTCCAAAATGAGAAATCAACATGAACTGAAATGTTTATTTTATTGAATACAATGATAGCTACCAAGTTGGTGTTTACTACTTTGGTAACCAGCATGTAATTTATAGCTACGTTGTTAAGTAATACTGCTGTAAAATGTGATTAGACTTGTTTCAAACCTGTAAAATGAGTGTTATATAGAGACCAGGCTACTATACTGACTGATGAAATCTGGGTCCTTTTCCTCCAGAAATGCAGCCCAATAAGCCATGAAGCTTATATTTATTTATTCTACAGTATGTCAGACTATTTAATCAATTTTTATCTCAGAGTGGATTATTCAGTGTTACAGCTTCCGCTGTAGAGTAGAGACTTTCAATAAAAAGAGAATAAAGGAAAATCCTGCCATGCGAATGACTGGAACTTTTGGAGTCTTTCTGTTGAAGGTACAGTATATTTAAAGCAGTTTTTGTCTGGTTCAGATAAGAGTAAATAAAGCTTTTATTGTTTCGATTCCTCAGAAGATAGGGTAAGCTGTGTAATATAGCGTAATATAGAGTATCAGGGGACTGGAGCGTAATGGAGGAAGGGAGTAAGGTGAGGAAAATCATATCAAAGGGACTTTTTCACAATCTACACCAATAGGGAGTATGGGGACATACCTGACATGGAGTTTCTTATTACATGAGTTGTGT